CAGGGTCAGCTCTTTTAGAAACAACAAATTTGTGGGCAAAAGCCTCTAAACGCCACTTGCCCTTGAAAGCAAAAGAAGCTCTATCTTGAGAACCAATCAGAAGGCACGAATCGAATCATATGTTTTCAATGTAACAGCTCGCTGAAATGTCGGCTTTTATGAGGAGAGTGTTTTATTCTACTTTCGTTTTCGATTTTAAAAGATGGAGTTTGATTAATTGCTTGAGCCTCTCTGACTGTCACTGAATGGCAAATTAATTCATCCCTTACCTCAAAACTCTGCATTGTAAGAAAAAGAAAACACAGTCAGAAGTGTAACATGCACACTCAACATTTTTTTTTTTTTTGCGCAGTAACGCTACTTTAAATGAGTCAGATTTACTATACAATAAACAGAAACTCCATTTTACAAAACACATAGTTAAGATGCCGTTCTTCTATTCTGCATGGATGCCATGAGGATAAACAAGAGACCCCCTGCACTAGATGATTACCCTAACTCTTGAGTAACTCCTCAAACACTTGAGTAACTTGTCCATGTTCTTGCAACCAATCATTCCATTTAGAAATAATTGGATTTGAGAATTTTCTGTAAATTCTACTGTCCATTCCTGCTCCTGGGGGGATAACATAGCTCTAACACACTTGCCCAAAAGTTTCTAGCAGATATTATCTTACTTATTTTACTAATGGGAGTTAATGACCATTGAAAAGTGCAATGAAGCACCTTGCAGTTAATCACACAATTTCCTCTCTTCTCCTCCCCTGTGTACTGCCATGGAGGCAGGGTTAGCTATTACACTTTTATGGCTAATGATTTTAGGCTTTTGCTGCATCTTAATGCACAGATAATTGTACTACATTCTGAAAACTGACCTACTCTATAACCTCTGCTGTTTTGTGCATAGGTATGCCTGACAGGACACTGTTGCTGACCTTGAATGACCAGGACAATATCACAGACTCTAAGAGTACTAGTTCATCTTCCAGCCTCTGTTCTCCTGGAAGTCCTCAATTGCCGTACATTTGCAGATTTTACCCCCAGAGACCACAAAGTCCAGTACAAACCGAGACCTTTCACTGGCCTGATGTCAAGGAGTTGTGCTCCAAATATAACAACCATAGGCATGATGGCGTGTCCGCATCCTCTCGCTTCTTCCCAATGGGTCGCAGTACTTCTTTCCCAGAAAGATTTCAGGACAGTGGATTGGAAAAGTCTGCAGCATCACGTTCATTGTCATGTTCATCCCATTTCTGTAATTTGACAGTACAAAAAACTACATCCACAGATTCTACATGCTCCAACAAGACCCTTGAAGGTAAAGGTTTGCCTTCATTGTGTAGAGTTAATGCTGTAGACTTTGGTGTGGGGATGCCAGACGCATTTGAGCAACCGGAAGACATCCCTTCTGCTAAAAACAACCTGATTTTAGTTGAAAGGGCAACGGGAGGGGAGGAATATAATGAGAATCAGAGATCAAGATTAGATGCTGTTTCACAGGATGAAATGGTGAACAGTAAAGAGCAACACTTTGGTGAGTGGATAGATGACGGTCATCCGTCGTTTTTGTTTGAGCAAGCAGAACACAGTCAGCATAGTTTGGTTAAAAACCTGCGGGATAAATTCCAGAACTTGAGTTCTTACATGTGAGACTTGCAATAATGCAATGTTTTTACAGTAAACACTCAATGTAAAGGGCTAGTTCATCTAAAATTGAGAATTCTGTTATTAATTACTCAATGTCATGTCATTCCACTCCCATAAGACATTTGTTTATATTTTGGACGCAAATTGAGATACTTTCGATAAAATCAGGAGCTCCCTGATTGTCCATAGGCTGCAAGGTTCCAGAGATGTTCAGAAGAAGTCTAGAAAAGGAAACATTGTCGAAATATTCTTTGTGACTTCAACTGTAATCGTATGAAGCTCTAAGAAGGAAAGTAAAAATTACCTTGTTCGTTAACGCTCTCCTCGTCAGGTCCATGAATAAAGGACATATAACACTTGCGTGTTGCATTGCTGATTCTAACGGCGATACTTTATTTTCCAGTAATAAATACATGCTCACCTGATGCGAAAGAAAAGATATAAGTGAACTAAAGTTTTTACAGGTTTTTTGGTGCACAAAAGTGTTCTTGGAGCTTCGTATAATTACATATGAAGTCAAATAGACAGTTTTGACAATGTTTTTGGTTCTTTTTCTGGACTTTGAGCTTCTCTGGAGCAAGAGAGAGCTCCAGGATTTCATCTAAAATATCTTAATTAGTGTTATGAAGATGAACGAAGGTCTCAGGAGTTCGAAACAACATGAGAGTATTAATATTAATAGCAGACTTTAATTTTTTGGGGGAACTAACCCTTACATTGCATTTTCTTTTTTGTCTAAATCAGGCGTTGACCACTGTATGTGAGAAGCATTGGACTGCTCAACCTTTATGTTTTTGGAAGATATCATAACCTCCAATCGGGAATTATCAGCAGATATCACACACATTAAAAGGGACACATGAGGACCTCAATATATATTTATAAACTATGCATTTGTAAATATATGTACATTCAAATTTCCATGCATTATTTTTGTACATATTTCAATGAGATGTAAGCATTTGTTAAAGTAGCTAGCTATTGTATTATTTTTAAAAAGTGCTTAGATGCATTGTTTTTCTTTGTTATTTTGAGGAAGGCCATGTAAATCATTCAGTGCACACCACAAATGCACCTAAGCTTGCAGTTAGCTTGCAAAAGCACTGCGATATTACATGCGATCTGCTAGTCATAGTGCATGAGTTATTTCGATGTCTCTTCACTGTTTGTGTTCAAGCTCTGACCAGAGGAAAGAGGGTAATCTCATAAAGACGTCATTCCGCACTAATGAGGAAAAAACTGGAAATTATAATCAGATTAAGCCTGATGAATGATAAACAACGGCGAAGGCTGGTGTAGTTTTCAATCTGGACTGTTTTTAGCTGTGTGCGGACAATTAAAAATGGTTAAATAGTGTTCAGTTTGACTGGATGGGGTTGAAATCAAAATGCTGCTCTTGTTTGACCATGCATTCAGTCCGTTTTACGGTTGCCAGTTACTGGTTGTTGAAAGGTCAGATTTGATTCCACTCATCCCAGAATTAAAATTAGAATATTCTCCAAATTTAACACTGAGGTCATTGAAACTAATGGACAAAAAGGCATTTGAGCACCATATTAATGCACAGTCACAGAACGTGTCTTCCGCACTGCGTTTGGGTAAATAATGGGAGATATTATAAGCTAGCTTTGTTTTTGGTTGGTATTATTGGGATGTATTTCCGGGCATAATGTCACTGTTATCTTGCATATTTATTTATTTCAGCTGGTGTAAATATTACGCACAATGCCTTTGCGATTTGTTTGTACAAATGTTTATTTCCTATTTTTCTGTTGTACTACATTAAAAGAAGCTTTGGCACTATAATCAGTATTTCACATGTCTTTTTATTTCCTGTTTCATGAAATCTGAACATGATTTTGCTTTGACTTGAGGCCGTATTGCTGTTTAATTAGTTTCTGCATTTTTTTAATGGGTTGTTCCTGTAGGACATACAAGGCCACATAATGTTCATATGATTAATGACTTCATGAAAGGAGAAGAAATGCAGCGTTCATACGATCTGGATATAGATTACCTTTTGTATGTGTATATATACTGTATTATTGTGAATATGGCAAATACATTGTCAAGTCAGCACATTTAGCACCGTATACTTCATTGTTTTACTACATTTTGACCTAAATATAAACAATAATTTTGATTTCAAGAATCACACTTATCATATTTCAAATAAAGATGAATTTTTAAAACACACTGGTGCTTTTTTAGGGCTGGAAGTTGATTCCAAAGCATTGATAATAGAGTCCATCAAGTGTTTAAAAGCTTAAAAGATCTAATTATGAACTAATAATGATCATAATTTGATAAAGCCTGTCAAATAGCATATTTGATGAGTATGCCTATACTGATATTATGACTTCATACACTGAATTTCACACGAAATGCATACAATCGTGATAAACAACTTGTGATTTGTCGTAGATGTTTAAAGTGTATAAAATAATGCTTTATAAATATTAAATATCCTAAACCAACTTCTGATTTCCATACATTTACATAATAGTTGTTGTGGTAAGTGCAGCATACAGTTTTGATGTTTACAGGTAAATACTTTTTAATCATTGTGCAAATGTTTAATCACTGTGCAAATGGATTTTATACATGATCTTCTTGTGCTTTGCATGCATTACATTTTGTAAATAACTGTAAAGGAGTGAACTAACAATCAGGACTCGACTTTAGAACCAGGAAACAGAAAAGCCGGATCTACTTTTCTCGCGCAGGTTACTGGTTACAGGTTACAGGTACTCCGCAGCTGGATATTTATTTTGGATTTATGCATCAGCTGGAAATTAGCCCCAATATGAAGAGCTATTATTTTCTTACCGACTAAGGACGGATCGTTGGGATCAGAATGTACTCCCTGGGTAATTCATTGTGTTATTTCCGAACAAAAATAGTTCCTTTCAAGGTCAAAACAAACGCGCCCCTCCCCCACTATCAGAAAGCGCGGGCTTTTTTTATTTACCTCAGCGTCGCTGCACGGCGGCATTTCTTCGGTGAAATTCAGGTTTGTTCGCCCTGTTTCGTTTTACAAAATCATTTTTAAACAACAAATCATTTTATTTCATCCAAAGCTACACAAATGGATTTGATGGCATTCGTTTAAACGATATCTTTGAGAGATTGAACCGCGCCTGATTGACATCATAACATAGTCAATTAAATGATGTAGGCCTAAATGCTTTTGAAGTTTTACTGTGTAACCTAAAACATTTCACTCAAACAAGCTGTGTATATTATATTTTACGTGTTAGAAGTGTCATCCATCTATATAAAATGTTATTTATTAGTCATTTAAAGATGCTAATGTGTTTTGAAACATAGCTGATACACTTTAATAAATGCTCCAATGTTAGTATTGGCCATAATGAACTGATTAACTAATTAGCACTCTAATTTGCTTTAGGTTTCCCTACAGTAAGCTGGTGTGCTGTAGTAAGATTATATACCTGTAGAAAACTATATTTGGGTCATTTGGTTACATAGTTGTGTAAGTAGCAAATAGAATCACCACAACAGATAAATTCAAGCACTTTAATATGGTTAAAACACTATAATTTACTCTAAAGTGACTTTAAAGGAATCTTATTCAGCACAAAATATATATGTTTATATAAGTTAATGTCTTATTTATTGTGATTATTTGGCAATTACCTGAAATCCTTTAAATGATTGTGGTTTTTCTTTTGGAGTGTATCAAATATGATTATGAAAATGAAGAAGAGCTCCATTTTATAACTGAATCTTTTTCAGTAGAAATTAAATATGATTATATAAGTTAGTGTTTTTATTGCTCTTATTATTCAGCAATGAATTGAAGTCCTTTTATTGATTTTACATTTTGTTTTGGAGCAGCTGTTGTATCGATTGTGACAATGAAGCTCCTTTTTTTCTAAATAAATCCTATACATGTTTGTGTAATTTAATGTTTTATTCTTTGTATTTATTCGCTAATGACGTGAAATCCGCTACTTTTTTCTTTGGACCGGTGTGTTTTATCCATTATGCATTATGATTGATTATGATCATGAATATGACACGGAGCTCCTCCTTTCCGCCAGCAGGTTTCAGGTTGTGAGTGTCTCTGAAGGTTTGATTCTGTCAGTCATGGAAAAGCAGAGCGACTAGAGACGCGATCAAACTATTTAACTCGACCAGCTGATTGAAAACTAACCAGGGCTGGTTTCAGGATGGGCTGCGCTATTTCGGGCTCCGGACTGACAGCGAGAGCCCCGGAGATCAGAGCCGGGGAGGAAGAGACTCCGGCGGGACTCACCGCCAATCACATCCGCCTCATCAAAGAGTCCTGGAGGCTCATTCAGGAGGACATCGCCAAAGTGGGCATCATCATGTTCGTCAGGTCAGCATCAGTTTCAGCTCACTTCACCGCTATTTGAACTGCTTTCACAATCTCAGAAATAATGCTATATATTGTTCATATTAAAGTACATATTAATATCTAAACAGTAGGATAAAAAAATTAGGTGCAAATGTGCACCTTTAAGGTATTAATGTGGACCCTTTTGGTACAAATGTATATCTACTGAAAAGCAGCTTGTTTACCTTTATGAGAGTGCACAACACATATGCTTTAAATTAAATGCATGCTTTTTGTTTATTTATTTTTGTCCGTTTGCATATAGTTGAAAACAGAACTATTATTAGACCTCCTGAATATTTTGTCCTAATGTCTGTTCAACAGATGTTTTAACAAATTTCTAAACTATTAATTTTAACAACTATTCTCTAATAACTGATTTGTTTATCCTAATTCAACTTAAAGTGACATTAAAAGACTTAACTAGGTTAATTATAGTGTATAACAGTGGCTTGTTGTGTAGACAGTCAAATAATTGCTTAAGGGGGTAATTATTTAACCTTTAACCTTTAAATGGTTTAAAAACTTTTTTTTCCACCCAAAATGAAACAAGACTTTCTCCAGAAGAAAAAATATTATCTGAAAAACTGTAAAAATGCCATTGCTTCATTAAATATACAGGGTTCAACGCTAAGGATTTTTTTCTACTGCGCCAATCGGGTCAGTGGTTGAGATTTTTAGTTGCCCTGCCCAAGTTTTCACTGGCCCCACCAAAAAAAAAGTTAATAGCTATTTCTTAGCCATATATTTTCGATAATATTGCAAAATAATTGCTGTGAATTTAGAATTTAAACATTTTAAAAATGTTAATAAATGTATGAGCAAAATTCTAGATTTTATGCAAACGAAAGAGCAGTATGGAAAATGTGCTGATATTTTATTGCAATTCTAAATTGTTTTTATAAAAACGGCTTGCCAAACTGATGACATTTTTTTTCTTTTCTTAATTTTGTACCCATGTAATTGTCTGCTTCCAAGACTTTAGAAACAGACGTTTTCTTTTAGCCTCATAGTTTGATGTTGCCGCCATGTTGCCATCTTTTCGCTGTACTGTAATGTAAATCAGCGCATAACGAGACTGAGCATTAAAACGACACGAACCCAAACCAAAACTTTTAAAAGTGAGACTTTTCTTCCATTCTTTTGTCCATTCTTTCTTGAGATGTATATTATTTTTTTGTTTAATTACTGATGACTGCTTTGCAGCTTTTAGCCTTAAATTGACTGTTTATTATAATCTTTCGTTTGTTTTGTAGCAGAAATATTATTTATTAAACTGACATGCATATACAAAAATAGTACAAAATAAATATTTCTTACTGCAATGCTTCATTTGTGTTTGATGCAAACCATAATTTTATTTTTCATAAAGTAACAGACTTTTTATAGCAGATAACTCACATTCAAGGCAGAATGATCATTGAGAATTGTAATTCATTGTTAGTATTATTGACATCGTCGTCATCATTAATATTTTATAATTATTAGACATTCATTTAGGAATTATTGCACAAATATTAAATCATCTCAGCATTAGTTAGGTAGTTGTTTCTGGTTTTTGTTAGTCCTGATTGATGTTGTTTAAAAAAATACAATAAATCCCTTAATATACAAGTTGCAGCGGTGCTCATTCAGTTTCGGTGGGTGCTTCTAAATTTTTTCTGGTGCTCCTAAATATTTAAAGTTGGAAGCTCCGGTGCTACCAAGTAAAAAAAAGTCAATTTTGAGCCCTGTTGTTACCAGGTTAAGAAAAAAAAATAACATGCTGATTGTTACTGGCCAATAGGGGCTCAAAAATAGTTTAGGTCAGACTGGAGCAAGTTACTTACAAAAATAGGTAGCTGGGATTAATTTGTTATATGATTATTATTTTTGTGTAGTATTTATTTAAATAATACTTACATAAATGTGTGTTTTAAAATGTTAAGCATCTCTTTAGGACTGCAACAACTAATCGATTAAATTGATAAAAATCGATTACTAAAACTGTTGGCAACAAATTTCATTATCGATTCGTTGTGTTGCGCGACACGGAGACGTTTGATTTAACAAAAAGAACACTAGCTCAGCGCGGAGTAGGGTTGTAACGGTATGAATTTTTCACGGTATGATAATCGTCTAAAACAATACCACGGTTTGACGGTTTCGCGGTATACGGTATGTTACAAATGTTACAAAATAATAGAACAGTGAAGCAAATTTGACTTTTTCCAAATAATATATTTTTAGTTACTATAAACAACACCACTTACAATGAACAAATAAAAAAATAAGAAATAATGTGTCAAAGTCCAAATAAAGTCCAAATAAACATGGTGCAAATCCTCAGTAAAAAATAGATATAAATATTTACTATACTATAAATAGTTACATAACGAAACTAGATTCAATATGGAACATCCTTAGGTTTTATGTGCCAGCA